TGTGCGGTAAAGCAGGGTCCCTGGTAAGAGTTAGCTTATGTAAGGGCTAAAATTGAAAACAGTCCAAGTCTAAGGGTATCACGTGAGCAAAAGCATACTTTCCCCCGCTAATTCAAACATGCCTACTTTTTTCCTCCAGAGCTAAAATAAATCACTGCGGTTTTTTGGCATGGGTAGAGTAAGAAAGAAAAAAATGCTAGACTCTCACTCAGCAAATGAGCTCACACTCTGGGAAGTACTCCAGGGCCCAGACCTACTGAAGGGACAGTGAATTCACATCCCCCCTTAGTCCTCGGTGCCTTTGTGGGGAGCGGGCACGGCGGGCCAGGGCCTGCTATTTAAGTTGTAGGGTTTTGTTGGCTTCTTTTTCTTGAGCATATAGAATTGGGTTTGCATTATCTGCAAACCATTGTAAAGCCCCTTGTTTGTTTTCTGTTTATTTTAAAGAGTAGGTTTCAGCACTTACTCAGATCCTGTTTGTCCCTACAGAGTAGATAAGACACATGAGCCCCTGCCTGGTGCCTGGTGCTTTGGAGACAACCAGTAAATGCTTATCACTCCCCCGCCCCCTCATCTTGCAGTCTCGCTTTACCTTGATGTGATTCCATTCACAGGGAGACCCCAGCCTGCATCTGAAGCGCACCGCGGTCCTTGTCTGAGTTTAGGCAGATGGATTTCCGTCCCTTAAACTCACTGTTCCAGAGCCAAAGTCATCCCCTTCCCTTCTGCTTCTCTGTATCTTAAGATCAAGGAGCCAGGTTCAAATGTGAGCCCCACCAACTCCTGTTACGACTTTGAGCACGTTCTCTAGCCATCGCGTCCAGACATTCTAGGTGCAGATGCTTCTTGCTTTAACTCCCATGCCTTTGGTTCATTCGCCAAATAGCTTTACCTCCATGACAGCAGAGTCACTGAGCGTAACTTAAATAAATAAAACGACCTAACGAGTGCCTCCAGTTTGCCAGCTAGGGAAACAGTTGGTGAGCAGATAGATGATATCGCTGTTTTCAAGTCTGTTCGACGGTAAAGACAAGTATGCAGACAATCATGACGGAGTGTGATCGGCCCTCTGACGCGCAAGGGCAGGAGACACAAGCGCTCGGCGCCCGACGCACATTTAAAGTGTCAGGGAAGAATCCCTAGGGCGTATCTAAGACGAAGCCTGCATTAGCCAGGAAAGAACAGCAGTGTTTTTGCACAGGTGAGTGGCACGTGACGAGGACCCAGCAGCACAGAGAAGACTCCGCCACATTACAGGGCTCAGGCGACTCACGCAGCCGGGGTGTGCGGTGCAAGGCGGGAGTGGCGAGAATGAAGGTTAGGAGGGAGGCGCAGCTCCAAACGTGCAAGCCGGGCACACCTGTCAAAGAGTCACTTTGGGTTCTCTTCCCAGTGCAGGAGTGGGAGGTGCTGGTGAGAAGTGACAGGAGCCTGGCCGGGATGCTGGGGACAGCAGTGCACAGTGCAAGGTTAAGAAAGGTGTTCCTTTCGCTTTCTTGGTCATTCCGGCGGTTTTAAGGTGGGAGACAGTGTGGATTTCCAGTACTGACGGGAAGGAGCGCGAAACAGTGCAGGAGAGGTGAAGGCGCGGCAGGAGACCCCCTACGAGGGGCTGCAGCTGGCGGCTGGGTGTAGGCGCACCGCTTTGTGGAGAGGACTGAGGAAATGCGTGTGCTGGCGTCCTCAGAAAGACGGTGCTGGCTGCTGAGCAGAGGTGTGGGAGCTGCTCGGAGGCTGACTCAGGAGAGGGGCACAGATGAGGTGTCCGGGCTCGGGTGGCAGCAGTGGCAGTGGCACGTCGCAGCTCTGAGGATCTTCAGGAGGGAAGATCGACAGCCTTTGGCAATTGTTAGGTTAGAGGGGAGGTTCTAGGTGTGAGGAGAGAGGAGATTGGAGGGTTGGGATGTGACCACATGGTGACCCGGGAAATCCAATCAGGAAAACTGGGTAACTGCTGGAGAGCCCAGAGGTCTGAGCTCTGTGGGGAGCACAGTGTGTGCATCCCTGCTCCCGTTGTACAGGCTTTCTCAGTCCAGGCGCAGACGTGTAGAGCAGCCATGAGACTGACCTTGGACTGGAAGTTTCAGCGACAGGTGTGATAAAGGCCAGCGCATAAGAGCTTTGAGGATATTAGCAAGATAGTGGGAGATACCACAGCCCGAGGAAGTGAAGACCCGAGGAGGAATAACTGAGTGGGAGGGCGAATGATCAGGGATTGTGGTCACACGGGGAAGCCTGAATTTAATATTGTAGTGATGAAATAGCTCCTAGTGAGGGAGAGTCAGGGTTTGCATAGCCTGTGGTTGAAGTGGAGAGGAAGCAAGCTCTCTGCAGGGGTGTTGAAGTCGCCCCCGATGATGGCAGGATTGGGGTGCAGAGGTGACAAGAGCAGTGGTCCCAGACGGGGCAGGACCGCCTACCGCGGAACACCATGGACTTTGGTGAGGGCACCTTTTCTTTATGCAAATGGCTGAGGACTCCAGGGATGTACACCTGACGTTTCTATGGAACAGAAACCTGTCCTGCATCCCACACGACTTCCCAGTGTCATGCTAGACACTGAGGGGCTCATAGATGACTCACCTGTCCCGCCTCAGGGGAATTATTTTTATGCTACACTTGCACATACACTGCACGTTCTTTGTAAAAGTTTTATTTTCTTCACTTTGATAGCCTTGATGTGTTGTATCCCTGTTTCCTTATTAAGTCTGCTTTTTCCTCTCTTTCCTTATCATATTCCAGTAAGACTCATCCGTGGTTTCCATGGAGTTGCTAGACTTTATTCTGACGTTTAACTGTACCCTTGGGCTTTCATTCTCCCGTTCTTTCTGGTACAGAATGGCTGCTGGTCTTTTTATTACACTGAAGTCGAGACTTATTTAGAATAAGTAGGTGCAGACATCTGACTTGATTTTCTCCAGTCATGCCCGAGCATTTACATATTGAAATACACATTGTTTTATTGTAAATTACTTTTTGATCCTTCATATATTACAGCTAGGGCGTTATATTAATTTGGAGGGAGAAAGTATATGCACTAGCAAGTTATATCAGCTGTGATGCCATTTCAGGATCAAATTGGGATATTACAGAGTGTTTTTTTAATTATTATTATTTTGTTGCGGTACGTGGGCCTCTCACTGTTGTGGCCTCTCCCGTTGCTGAGCACAGGCTCCGGACGCGCAGGCCCAGCGGCCATGGCTCACGGGCCCAGCCGCAGCGTGGCATGTGGGATCTTCCCAGACCGGGGCACAAACCTGTGTCCCCTGCATTGGCAGGCGGACTCTCAACCACTGCGCCACCAGGCAAGCCCCAGAGTATTCATTTTAAAAAGAGAGACTTGAGAACCACTGTCTTGGGGCAGAGAACTGGCACCCAACAGCAGTGTGTGGGAAGGTGGACGGTGCTGCCGAGTGGCCAGCGGGGGGACAGGTCAGTTTGTGCAGGCGGAGGCCCCTTCGTCTTGTTCCCAGCTCGCCCCCACTCAGACCCCCAGCCGCTCTGCTCTGTCCTCCTGGGTGTTCTCCATTGTCCAGCATAAAACCCCATGCTTTTCAAAGCCTGGAAGAGTAAGTAGGCAAGGGAATGAACCCTTGAATACCTGGGTGCGGTGCTAGTTACTAGACATGGGTTTTCATTATTCCTCCCAAGAAAGGGAGCATGGTTCCTTTTAGGATTAGAATGAAGTCCAGCCAGGGCTCAAAGACGAGAACGTGTCCAGTGTCTTAGTCCTTTCAGGCCAGCACAGCAAAATATCACAGCCCAGGTGGCTTATAGATGACAGACATTGATTTCTCACGGTTCTGGAGGCTGGAAGTCGGAGATCAGGATGCCAGCAGTTGGGGCGAGGGCTCTCTTCTCTCCTGGTGTCCTCACATGACCAGGCGCTAGGGGGCTCTGTGACATCTCCTATTAGAGCACTAAGCCCGTTTATGGGGGCTCCACCCTCGTGACCTCAGAACCTCCCAGAGACCTTTGCTTCTAACAGCATCACGTTGACGTTAGGGTTCCAACATGTGAATCTGGGGGGGACACAGACATTCAGACCACAGCATGGGTGTCACCAGGTGAGGGAGTGTTGAGGATGGGCATGTAACGGAGGGCAGTCTGGCCCTGCAGCTTGCGTTCTGCTCAAGGTGTGATACTGTCACCAAATAGACCTCCATGGCAGGGCTGTGAGAAGCTAGCCATCTGGGGCTTGTGCCCTTCTAACTCTTGATTTCGGACTCATATTTGAAACCACTCTTCGTTTTCTGGCCCCAGTCTGTTCATCATTTTGTGTGACTCTCCCAACCCAGTTACTTTCTCTGAAGGCGGACTTAATCTTTTAATATTCACAGCGTTTACTATATGCCTTGTTCACGACAGGTGTTTAGTATGTGCACACTGATTGAAATACATCAGGTCTATGTAAGTTTTCAAAGGCTTAAGGACCAACTGAGAATAAACCGTGTTGCAGAGGAGCTTGACATTGCACTGATGGTTTTACAAGTTTAAAATGCATGATGAGGTTTTTGCACCTAAAATAAAATCAAGGTTCAAAGATTTTCTTTTATTAGGGTCTGAAAACATTTAAAATTGTGTAATTCCGTTTTTTTAGGTGCACCTACTTTTTAAGCCCTTCTGGATACCATTACCTGTTAATGTACTCAGATACTCTTGAATATGTTTCATTTAAAACAAAGATTTCTAATCTTTTTAATGGAAAGATGGGGATTTAAATTTAAAAAGTAGGAAAGCAAAATTTAAAAAAACAGGAAAAATTTAGAAATAAAAAGTAGAAAAGCAAGCAAATAACTCCTAGTTTTTTCTTACATACAGCTTAACTAGAGATAATCTCTTGACTTGGGATGCACGTGAAGTTGGAGATAATTTCTTGACTTGGGATGCATGTGAAGTTGGATACACGTTTTCAGTCTGTCTTAACGGATGATGTCAATCACAGCAATGTTTATATGGTGTTCTGTTCAGGAGTGAATTTCTGTTTTCCTGTTTTTCAGGTCCTGTAGGGGTAGGTTTGAATGAACTGAAACGAAAGCTGCTGATCAGTGACACACAGCACTACGGCGTGACGGTGCCCCGTAAGTTCTGTGCTGTTTGCTGCTACTACTGGTGGCCCAGCACATACACAGCATGTGTGCTGCAAAGCCCTGCTGTCAGCACTCACATGTAGACCTCACCACAGCCCTGGGGAGTAGGGAGTGACAGTGTCCACATTTTACAGAGGAGGAAACTGAGGCACAAGAGTTAAGGGGTTTGCCCCAGATGACACAGATCATTGGCAAGGTGTTCGTTGCTTTCAGCTTCCCTACTCTCATTTTTTATGGTGGATTTTAATACAGGTATGACATCAAATTATTACTTACAAGTTTTCTGCTCAATTGAAGTTTATTCTGTTTCTTCAATTTCTAGAGTTTTCAATGAGCTTTAAGATTAGAAGGGCCAAACTGCAGAGAGTGAAGGAGGCTTCTTATAAACGTTTCTTAATTACTTTTCATATTGTAGTAATTGGCATATAATAATTTTGCATGGCCATATAATCCAAATGTGGTAGTCTTCTTTTCAGTATACAGAATTAGGTCTATTTTTATAAAAGTGGTTTTTACAGGCATTCTTACAAGTGAAGTGTGATCCTGGAAGCATTTTGATACCCAGAATAAATGCCAGTTGACTACTTAACAGGTGGATGTTAGGGAACCATCTAAAAGACTACATTAAATGTTGGCTTTTTAAGTGGTTTTAGTAATGTTTAAAAAAAAGTCATTTGTATAATGCCCTTAGCAATGTTCTCTAGTTTTGGACTAGTTGAACTTCATTTTAAACTTATAGTTTTCTGTTACCTTGTTACGCCTTGTTACTGCGTTTTTCCAAGTTATTGTTTGTAATCATTTTCAGCCGTAAGTTATAGGGCTGCTGGTTTCTACCAACAGAGATGAAAGTAAAGGAAACTGGAAATATGGAATTAAACAGTTTCTTTTTATTTCTACTTTAATTATGTATTTCTGTCACAAAAGCTGAATTGCAATATACAAGTCATTAGAACATTTTACAAAACAACTGTTAAGCTTACAGGTGAGCAATTACAGAAGAAACCTAGAAGATGGAAAACAGATTACAAAGGAAAAAAAACATTAATTTCCTACTGTGTCTTCATTGCCCTTATTTGTCTTATTTTGCCCTCCCAACAACGGTGTAAGATGGGCAATATCTCCATGTCACAGAGGAGGAAACAGGTGAAAGGATATTTTGATGGACTCAGAGGTTCCATAGGCAATAGCTGCACTTGGATTTGAAGCCAGGTCTCACGTTCTCCCTACCATACAATGCTGCACAGCCCTTGCCAACTCCAGATTCTCTTTACTGTAGCCCAGTTAGTAGTAAAAACTAATTTCTTTTGAAGAGGGTAAAGGTTAATAAGGCTGCCTATCAAATGTAACCCTCCATGATGATTTTGGTATTACTCAGGGCACTTTGGACTCAGTTAGTCCAACTATTAAAATACTGTTTGCATCTGAAGTTGTTACAGAAGTTAACAACATCCAGAAATGTTCTGGGGCTGAGACTCTGCAAAGAAATCCCTAGAGGAGTAATTTTCCTTTTTAAACAGGTGTTAATGTCAAAAGATCCCCAGAACGCAGTGTTTTCCATACTTGCCTGATACTAAGAGTCTCTTGAGGTTCTTATGAAAAGATTCCAAGGCCTTTCCAAAGAGATTCTCCTTCTGGAGACCTGACAGAATTCCTGAAAATCTGTATTTATAGCAAGTATCCCAGGTGATTCACGGTGTCAGTCATGTGTGAGAAATACAGCCATAGCATCAAATGAGGATGATTTAATTAATTAACAAGATATTTTAAGAGCAGTTTTGGCATTTTAGATTGCTTTGCTTTGTAAAAGACTTTTAGGTAGAGTCGTGATTATCTGGAGAAAAATTATTGCTTTGATTATACCACCGGTATTCTGGTTGATGTTTGAATTCTCTGTTCCAAAAAATGTACCAGATATCCACCAGAATGGGTAAATGGAGCAGTTGAACTCTCGCACATTGCTGGGGTGGGGAAGCAGAGTAATTCAGCCACTTTGGAAAACTACGGATCTGTTGAGGCTGAGCAAAACCGATACCCTGTGACCCAGCCGCTCGGCTCCTAGGACACTCCTCCCAGAAACGCATACAATATGTACTCAGATGTGCATGGAAACGGTACTCAGAAGAGCTCAAAACTGGAAGCTACCCCAGTGCCCATCAGTAGTAGACTGGATAAGCAAATGGTGGTATATTCACAAAGAGGGATGTTGTAATGCAGTGATAACCTGCTACCGCATCCAAAAGTACACATGACTCCCACAAACATTATGCTGAGCGAAAAGAGGTCGACAGACGCAAAAGAGAATGTGCTTATGACTCCCTTTTTATAAATGCAGGAAAGGCAGTGCTAATACGTGCTGTTAGAAATCTTGAGGAGGTGGGTTGGAGGGGATTCTGCGTCCTGGCAGTTTTCTTTTCTGCAGAGTGCTGGTTACACGGGTGTATTTGGTGTGTGAAAATTCATCGGGCTTACATGGGAACTTCTCTGTATATTATACTTCAGGTTTTTAAACATAAAAAAGAAACACTTGGTCGTTAAGTTAATTGTTGATTTAGTTAATTTCCTGGTTTTGATAGTACTATAGTTATGGAAGGTGTTACCCTTGGAAGAAGCTGAGTGATGGTTACATGAGGCCTTTGTGTGCTATTTTCGCAACTTATTGTGAATCTGTGATCATTTCAATTTAAAAAAAACTTTTTGAAGGGATGCTAAATTAGGTAAATGCTATTTCTTTCATGCTAAAATGTATGAACAAACTATATGAACTTTTAAAATGATCCACATAGCCATATTAAACATGCCAGGTTGCTTTTAAAGAAAGTGGTCAGAGCCCCTGATTTCTGCCTAAAAATGCTTCTGTGTGGGAAATTTCAGCCTTGATAAGCAGCATCAACATTGTTTTAAGGCCCCAGTTTATCATAACAAGTCTATATGGCTATTAACATAGTCTTTCAAAAGGCTTTTTCAGTAAATTAAAACAGTTAACAAAGCGTTATTAGAGTGGATATCAAATACTTGATGGATTCCAGAGTGTTTGTAGTCTGGAATTTGGGTGCTCTCTCAGCCAGCCACACCTGTTAATCACTGTCTGTGGTTTCTCGTGAAGGTGTATGTTACAGTTGCGTGTTGTCAGAGATTTCAAAGGCCTCATGCTCTAGAACACTTCTTTGTAGATAGGATATCTCTGTTGAGATTTCTAAAAATATGTATGTATATTGCAAGTTAGGGGACCAGTTAAAACTTTTTTTTTTTTTCTTCTCTCACCATGGTGGTTATTCTGGGGTTTTGTCGGGAGCACAGGAAGACAGTGGAGTTCGTTTCATGTTGGTTTGATGTTTCTTTTAAACGATAAACATGGCACTTAAGCAGTGAATCATGGCGAGTTAGTGGCCTGTGTTGTGGTTTGATGCCCATCTTTGCCTTCTGATTCCTTCTCATAAGAGTTTTCTGACCCCTGATTCAGGATTGCTCACGTTAATGAGCTTATGAGATTCCTATGGTGCCTCATTACAATTAGGCAGTAAAATCTTCACTGGTAAAACCACATCAGACCTGAATAGTTCACGTTGATCATGATAAGCAATTTGGTTGTAGACGTGTTACCTTATAACTGTGTTTAGCAGTGTCATAAATGTCTTATTCACTTGATTTGGGTCTAATAATATTTTTAACCCTCCCGAGGGGATTCCATGTGTCCGTGCATTAATCCTTAAACTGTGTGTTCCAGATTTTCAGTGTTCTGCCATTAAAATTGAATAGTTTTATTCAACCTTTTCTCAGTTCATGAGAGACAGATTACTGCACACAAAATCCTCGGTTTTGATTGTCAACAGTACATTTTTCTTAAGCCTACTATTTGCTAAAGGAATACCAGCAAAGACAATAACAATTAAGTAATAAATGAATATCAGCCCTAAGCTCCGAAGTAGGGTCTTGTACCAACTTAATATCTTGTATATTCTTGGATGCGTATTATGTTACATACACTTTAATAGAGTCTGTTTTTCTGCTGTGAAATTCATTCTCAGCTTTTATGGTAGAATTAAATTTATCAGTATTCCATGCTGTTCAGCAAAGCAAGTGACCTTCCGTAAAGGACAGCACCACCTCTTGATGCCCCTCCAGCAGCTCTGAGCATTGTGTTAAAATATGCTTGTTAACTAAATAGAAGGGAATTTAAATTTTGAATGTAATTTAAACTCATTTGGTTTTATAAATCTATTCCTTTCTGTGTTCGGTTACTTTTTTCCCACTTCCCTTATTTTTCCTTTTATAACATTATTGAGATATAATTAATATAAATAAACTGCACATGTTTAAAATGTACAATTAGATCACCTATATACACACACGCGAAATCATCACCACAGTCAACATAATGAAATTTCCATCTCAGAAAACGTCCCTGGGCCCTTTGTAATCCATCCTTCCACCCCTGTCCCCAGGCAACCACTGATCTGCATTCTGTCACTGTAAGATTAGTTTGAATATGGAGCATTTCTTATGAATAGAATTATACAGTATGTTCCTCCATTCTTTTCTTTTTCACCTGGCTTATTTCACTCACCTTGATGAGTTTGAGATTCACCCATGTTGTTTCATAAATCAGTTATTCATCCCTTTGAACTGCGGAGTAGTCTGCTGCATGGAAATACCACAGTTTGTCTATCCATCCAGTCACCTGTTAATGGATACTTGGGGGTTTCCCCACATTTTTGACTATTACCAGTAAACCTACTATGAGCATTGTATTCAAGTCTTTTGATGGACGTACTGATTTGTTTTTCCGGGGTAAATAAGTAGAAGTAGAATGGCTGAGTCATATGGTAACTGTAAGCTCAACTTTTTAAGAAACTGTTTTCCAAAGTGGTTATGCCCTTTTACAACCGACTAGCAGTGTATATAAGATCCAGTTGCTCCATGTCCTTGTCGACACTTGGTATAGTCGGTCTTAAATTTTTGTCAGTGCAACGTGTGTAGTGATGTCTCATTGT